AGCAAGTCCGTGTTGCAGCTTCGCTTTGCCTCACCTCGTGCCCCCGTCCTAGCACCATTGACTTTAGGCCATTTCTGTGGCCTAAACTAGTGCAGGGGCTACCGTGTGTCTTAGAAATCAAAATAATGATACAGAATGATTCACTGGGCAGAAGTAATGTGGAAGACAAATGTATCGGGAAGCAACGGAAATGCTATTAGCAATCACAGGGGAGTTTATTAGTAAAAAACATTGCCCCATGTCTCCTACACATAGTAAAAGGATATTTGTTTAAAGCCCAAGTAACGCATTCACTATATAAGAATTTCTAAGGGATTTTGAATCAGGATTCTGTTTGCATTCAGCCACTACTTTTTTCTTCTTTTTTTTTTTTTTAAAAGATTTTATTTATTTATTTGAGAGAGAGAGAATGAGAGACAGAGAGCATGAGAGGGAGGAAGGTCAGAGGGAGAAGCAGACTCCCTGCCGAGCAGGGAGCCTGATGCGGGACTCGATGCGGGACTCGATCCTGGGACTCCAGGATCATGACCTGAGCCGAAGGCAGTCGCTTAACCAACTGAGCCACCCAGGCGCCCACTACTTTTTTCTTCTTATCATCACCCTAAACTTCCCACATACCACCTGTCTTAAGATGAGATAAATGAACGTGAGGCCCTAAACTCTACCACAGGTGATGCCTTAGCCAAGGAATGGATTCACTTTGACACTTGATTAACATCAATTTCACATGTGGTAATAAAAAAATTAATCTGCACGAACTGTAATTTTCATGCTGGGATCATTTAGATTCCAGCCATCTCTGTATTGATTGGGTTCAAGAAAACTATTTTCATTGTGCTTTTTTAATGAGGATGCCTGGTGGAAAATCATACTTGGATCTTGGGGAACTTCTTTTCAAAAGTGCAACAAACAGAACTTCAGTGTTTGGGAAGATGGGCTTGCTATCTGTAGACTTAGAGAACATTAAGAACAAATATACAAAGTTTGAGGAAGAGTAGGGTAGTAGCTATTTTGAAATACTGACTGATATATGTGTGTTAAGATCAGAGACTACACCTAAAAAAGATAAGTAGATGCCCCAGAATGTTGCCTTTTTATAGTCTTCTTATCAGAATATCTGCAGCCACCCCATTTTCCTGAATTTTGTCCCAATTCTCTTTTCCAATATGTGGCTACCTGCCACTTTTCAACCGTAGAAGGAAGACTTTAGGCAGGGATGATGGGCGGAGAGACTACAGAGGTTGCTGTTTTGCGACGTGGCCCTGACAAGTTGATTATATATTGGAAGATGCAGTGGAGAAGCCACATCTCAGTTTCTGACATTAGTCTCTGCGGATGTTCATCACCTGACAGTAGCCGCTGTGGGAGCAAGTTAGGGAACCTCTGAGAAGCACAGAGGTAACACTCTGTGGTGCGTATGAACGCAGGCGCCTCCAAGGAGACTCAGCACCAATTAATTACAATCACCCCATTCTGTAGAGACAACATAAAACCACTTCAAAACATTTTGAAACGCCATAAAGAGAGTGCATTTATTTTAAAATTTGTAGTTCATATCTGTGATACAGTAATACAAATGTGTGTGCATATACCTTATGTATAATAGGTAAACTATTACCTTATGAATCAGAAAGGCCCGTGTTCAAGGCACCTCTGGTTAGTGGAAATCTGTCCTTCACTACCCTGCTTTGGATCTGAATAAATATGCATCACACACAAACACACACACACACACACACACACTGATGCAAACTCCAGCAATTGATCAGAGGCTGACGTGTTACAGGCTAAATTTTTGGACTTGGTTGCTCGGTCATAAAATACGAATGCAATATACAATTCCCACACAGACTTTCCTCTTCTCTGCAAAGTATGGAGACCCAAATGCTACAAAGCTCGCTGTGGGCTCCTGGCTCAGAAACAGTTCTCTCAGCACTCTCCTGACATTATTAATGGCCCTGATGTACAAACTCAGAATAAAATAGAATTAAAATCTAAAGTTAATTTCAAGCTCCATTAGAAATTAAAGGTGTTGGGAAAGAAATCAATATTTGCCCAGTGCAAAATGACTAAATTCAAAGCAATTAATTCTATTATTTTGTAACTTATAAAAACTATAAAAGACCTTCAAACTAGAAAATGTTGCCACGCTCACACATATACATGATATGTGACTAAAAATAATGACAATGATTTCTAGAAGCAACACACAAAAATCTATTTTATTACTTTGTAGCCATACCATGTAGTATACACACTAAAATGTGTGTCTTAAAATAGAGCCAATTATTCTGTACAATCTGTGGCTATTTCCAGCAATTACCAACACTCAGTTGTAAATCTGGGAGGATTTAAAGGACAGAAACAATGCAAAAATGCAAAGAGATTTATTTAAATGGAATAGATGTATCCATTTCCTTAATTTTACTTTCTCTTTTTTCCAGCTTCTTTTTAAGGATTGCTACAGATTAACAAATAAATGACCTTAAGACACTGTAGTTCTAACTACTATAAAGTATTTTGCAACCTGTAGGGTTGTAGATCATAAAAGACATTAAAGTAGCAGTCAGTAATTCTTTTTCATGTCAGAGGGGTGCCTCTGTCAGGGTGGCTCAGTTGGGCACTTGGGTGGCTCAGTCTGCCTTTGGCTCAGGTCATGATCCCAGGGTCCTGGGATCGAGTCCCTCATTGGGCTCTCTGCTCAGCAGGGAGCCTGGTTCTCTCTCTCCCTCTGTCGCTCCCCCCCTGATCCTGCTCTCTCTCTTGCTCTCTCTCTCTCTCAAATAAGTAAAATCTTAAAAAAACAACAACTTTTTCATGTCAGAATCACTGCCACTTCTTCCCTGTCCTGCCTTTTGGGGTAAGACTGAGTTAACAAATGGACCTTTTGCAGGTCTGGAAGGATTAGAGTCAAAGGGATCTGGATCAGACCTTGTAATGAGGATATGTCACTGTTCCCTCCCCACGTCGAGAAGAAGCCTCATGAGAACTGGCTCAGGCATCAGTTACTGTTTCAGCATCTGGGGTGAAAACCTATAAAAGATAATGTGGGACAAACCATTGCTTTGCTTAGGAAACATCATAAGGCTTCTGGTTAAATCTTCCTCTTTTTAGGATAAATACAGTCAATATGATTAAGGCTTAATAGCAATAGACACACAGCTAGGCACTGGGAACATTCCACAAGAAGAACAGAGCAATCATTGACAATAGCCTCATTCTTCCAGGGGCTAATACTCAACTCCTTGACTTTTGGAAATGTTATCTTTTTAAAAACTCTGTGAGATGTACTTTCCTTAAAGGCATGACTCGTCTAATGGAGTGATAAGAGAGTTGGGTTTTGGGAGGTGAGCTTCCTGGCCCACCAGCCCCTATTCTGTCTCTGTCGTTGCTCTTCAAAGTTGCCCACTAGCTAGAACAGAAACAAAGGTGTCAGACCAAACTGATTTTCAACTCTCTTAACTCCCCTCTTGTTCAGCATTTCCTTTCTTCCTGTGATATTTCGAAGGAGAGAGGATACTGGATTAAGACAGACAGGGGTGACAGTCCCACACCCATTACTTCCCGTGTGTGCGGTCCAAGGTGGTGACTTAACCTCCCTGATCCTCACTTTCCTCTCTTGCATAAGAAAAATAATAATACTTACCTGGCCAGGTTTCTTTTTCTTTTTTTTTTAAGAATTTAAAATGTAGGGGAAGTGGATGTTCATTACGAGGGATATCACGGGCCCTCAGTTGTAGTCACCGTTGGTGTTATCATGAAGCTCTGTTCCCTAGGTGTCCTCTCTCCCTCCTCTATCAGACCTGCTCTCACGAGAGCACCAGCTATCTGTCACAGTGCTCACAGGTGAACCTAAGACAAGTCAGAGAAAGAAAGCAATAAAATGTCAGAAATTAGAATACAAAGCTTGGGGGGGGGGCGGGTAGGAATGGAGTGACAATTGTTTAAGAACAAGGACTCTTAAAAAAAAAAAAAAAAGAACAAGGACTCTTTCTGAACATTTCCTGTATATGCATCCAAATTGTCTGAAGATACTCTCTCCTCCTGATGCTGGTGGAGACATGGCTTCCATCTTCCCATCTGGATCTACTCTCATCACTGACTTCCACATTGGCCAGTTGATGCTAGTTTATTTAAATGGGGCATCTATGTTTGATATCACTTGCTTTCTCCTTACAGCAGTTTTCTTTGTTTTCTGTGGCTCAACTATTTCTTCGTTTTGGTTCGGTTTGATTGACACCATTGTTTCCAGTCTATGTCCTGCCTCACTCTTAAACGATGGTGCTCCCCAGCTTTGTCCTCAGGCTTCCCTTCTCCCTTACATACTACCCCTGAATGCCTCCAACCATGTCTTCAATTTCCATTTATGTGGTAAAAATTCCTTCATCTGTCTTGCTAGTCCAGAATATTCCGCTGGATCCATTAAACAGTGACCAACACACAGTAGGGATTTAATAAATATTTGTTGAATGTGTGAACATCTCAGTATCCTACATGTTATATCCATTTCCTCATTCCACCCTGCCTCGCTCTTCCTCCCGTCATACCGATGCACGTAAATGATCCGTTGCAAACCCAGTCACTGAAGCAGCAGTCCAAAACCCCCACATATGATCAGTCCCCAAGTTCAGCATGTTCTACCCCTGGGATATCATTTGTGTCCCACCTTCCTCTTAGGGGCTACGTCTGAGCCCAGGCTCTCCTCACTTCTTTTTTTTTTTTTTTAACGTTATTTATTTATTTATTTGACAGAGAGAGACACAGCAAGAGAGGGAACACAAGCAGGGCGGAGTGGGAGAGGGAGAAGCAGGCTTCCTGCTGAGCAGGGAGCCCGATATGGGGCTCGACCCCAGGACCCTGGGATCATGACCTGAGCCAAAGGCAGACGCTGAATGACTGAGCCACCCAGGCGCCCTCTCCTCACTTCGGAGTACTGCAGAGACCTTCCCATTCCTGGTTTTAGAACCTTCAGTTTATCCTCTCTGTATCTGCTAATGGTCCAGGAAGCTGAGAAGTACAAAGCTGAAGATGAGAAACAGTGAGACAAGGTGTCTTCCAAGAACTCATTTGAGTCTTATGCATTCAACATGAAAGCAACTGTTGAAGATGAAAAACTTCAGGGCAAGATCAATGATGAGGACAAACAGAAGATTCTTGACAAGTGCAATGAAATCATCAATTGGCTTGATAAGAACCAGACTGCAGAGAAGGAAGAATTTGAACACCAGCAGAAAGAGCTGGAGAAAGTCTGCAATCCTATCATTACCAAACTGTACAAGAGTGCAGGGGGCATGCCGGGAGGAAGGCCTGGAGGCTTCCCTGGTGGTGGAGCTCCTCCCTCTGGTGGTGCCTCCTCTGGACCCACCATCGAAGAGGTTGATTAAGCCAACCTGAGAATAGGTCTAGCATTGTTCCACACAAAATATTCGAAGGACCCAAATTTGTAGCAAATTCCATGGCAGTTTTAATGTTGAGCTGCTATAGTAAATAAACTGGGCATTCTTTATACTTGAATATGGAATACGTGCACAGGGAAAGGAAATAAACATTGCACTTTATAAGCACTGTATTGTTAAGTGGAAACTTAACTGCTAAACTGAAATTTCAAAAGAGAGAATCTGATGCCATTTTTTAACTTACAAAGTTAAAACCTTTCAATAATTCTTTAAACTTGTTTATATGAAATTTGAGTAAGTTAACATCACAGAGTGTTACATGATCTAGCTTCTGTTTATCTCCCTATTGTTCCTCGTATCTCTCTCCCTTTTCTCTAAGCACTCGGAGCACATTAGAATGTTGGGTACAAGCCTCTGCAGAAAATGCAGTTCCTCCTCTTCCTTTTCTGGTTAATTAACTTCCACATGTTCTTCACTACTCCGCTGAAGTTTCATTTATTGCAGGGGACATTCTTTTGTGCCCAGTCTGATTTAGGACCTCACCCTCTGTGCTCCCACACCATGCTGTACATACCCTATCAAAGAAATAGTAACCCAGAGTCACTGGATATTTGCTTCTTGGTGTAAAACAAAAAAACCCCACAAAGTCTTATTTGACTCCTAATACTAAATCAAAGGACAGGACTAATGCTGTAGACCCCCAACAGTGCTTGTTGTATAATGAATGAGAATTCCATGCATGCCTAAACGGACACTCCCAAGACTACTTATTGGTGGGACGTTTGCTTGAAGGAAAGTAGTGGGCTTGTGCTACACTTTCAGTCTTCTCTTTCTGTGTCTCTTCCCTTTGTTGTGCTTTTCCTTTCTAATCTACAGCAGATGAGCAAAGGTCTGATGTCAGTGCGTTGGGAAATTTTTAGCAGGAGTGGGATTCAATCGCTGTCGTTTTCCCCATCAGTTGGTTATCCTTTAAGCTAGTTTATATCTAGTTGTGAAAGGAAAAACAAGGTTCCCAGTTAGAGAAATTTTAGGGCAGAAAAACCTCCTGGTCCTTGCTTTCTTCCTTGTTAAGTTAGCCTTTAATATAAAGTTTAATCCTTTTACGCTGCCTAGAATGTGTTCAGAGATTTTCTCTGCAGATTGTTTTATCTGGCAGTTAACTCCTGGGTACTTCTGGGAACTGAAGGGAAGAAGCATCTGAGCTGCACTCACTGAACTCAGAGACCGTCAGTCCATCAGTTCTATGGTATCTGAGTTTTGTTTTGTTTTCTCTAAACCAATGATTCTTAAATTTTAGTTTGGAAATTATCTGAGTAAATCTATAAAGTACAGTTTTCAGGGCACCATTCCAAATATTTCTGATTCATAAGATCTGTGATAGGCTCAGGGAATCTGCATTTTAACAAATTTGACTGGAAGACTCTAGAATATTCTTGTACAGATGGCTCATACCAATTTGAGGAGGCACCCTAACCCTAACCCTAGTCTCTCCATCCAACCAGAAGATTGAGCCTCCCTGAGGTTCTACTTACTCTAACTCTTTCCTTCCCTTGACTCCATAGTCACCAGATTCTGGGAGATAAAAGCCATTATTTAGTGTGGTCTTACAGAGTGAACTCACTGTCTGTTCTGCCTCAGCCTCACAGTATCACGGGCTCTCCCATTACCTTGGGATCCAAGAGTTTTAGTGACCTCATCTTCACCCGGACACAGGACATGGCCAAGAAGCAGGCCACTGCAGAATACACTGCCAATGGGACCTCAGAAGGAAAGGGAGTCCCCTGGGGTCCTCATAGCCCAGCCATGGGATGGTGGATGTCTGAAGAAGAGGAGAGTTTAAATTTTGAATCCTCCATTCCAAAATCTTTGTTTTAACATTGAACATGCGTTTTAGATAACCCCAAGAAAAAATAAAATGGTCTCCCAAAGTAAAATTACAACTGATGCCAATGCAGAAGAGAGAAAAATCCCCAAAAGTTTGTTTTAAAAGTGACATTCATAGATTTTGAATCACTACTAATTCATAATCCCTAAGCAATGCAACAATTAGTATGCATTTACAAAAGATGCATTAGATGGAATACATGATCTATGTTAATGTGTGTAAATTTTGTTTTATCACAGCACTTCATTTCCAACATGTTTAAATTTCCTAAGTGTTCCTGTGACATACTCACAGCTTACAAAATAATAACAAGAGAGGAGGCATTATCTCCCATTGCGAATCCAGACAAATAGATGGTGAGCTGCTTTGGCTATGCATACAGATGACTCCAGTCCTTTCTAGTCTTTCACCCTTCTTGCTACCTTTTTCATGTCAGTGACAAAAGGTGGTACAGTTAGTACATCCTGAATACCAACCTAGCACTTCTTTGAACCCTACCCAGCACTTTCTCCTTTTGTTCTGATCTTCATATACTATTTAAAGAGTGATACCAGTACCAAGAATTCAGAGAGTAATGATTTCCCTCTTTAATTCCACATTTCTTTATGAAAGGAGTTCTTTCTTCCTCAAGCTGGTTTTTTTTTTAATGAAAAAACTAATTATCCTTTAAAGCAACATTTTTTTTTGCATTTTGTAATAAAACTAGGAAGTAATTTAGTAACTTTCTAATAGTAAGTTAATGAGTTTTATCCAAGAGCTAGTATCATGTGGTGCATATTTTTTATGTGTACATAATGTTTCTAAACTAAGCCCCATTGATTTTTTTTTTTTTTTTTTACTTTTATCAGCAAGAAAGAGAGGCTAAAACCAGACTCATAGCTCCCCAGCGTGCTTAATAGGAGTATTTAACAGCATCTAAACATAGTCACTGCGCACATGGAAAGCTTTTTGTCACAAAATGACAAGGATCAGACACAAATCACTGTGTTAAGTATCAGAAAACCTTGTATTTCTTATGTTCCCGCTGTGCTGGCTGTTCTTGGATAAAACCTAACCTATTTTCTTGACCCTTGCATGACCGAAGAATGCCGTTAGGTAGTCTGAGTAGCGGGAGGTCCAAGCGCCAATGTAAACCCACATAAAAGTTTGTTTCTTTGCTTGTCTTTAATCACACCCCGTAGCTTCATGAGGTAGGTAATCACCTTGTCAAAGCATTATAATGGACTGTATTATATTGGAGGAGTCTTGATATGAAAGATACAAACTAGGCACATTTTTGAGGGAAGAAATAATGAGTTGGATGAGGAAACCACCTAATGCCCATTATACCAGGGGATACCACCTAATGCCCATTATATCCTAAAACATAGAGCATATCTGCTGCCATCGTCATGCCCAGAGATCTCAAACATGTATGTAGCATCAAAATGTCCACACTACATTTGCAGATAGGATCTTTTGAGATGGGGTTTTCTGGAACTACCAGGGACCACTTTTACTGAAAGAGAATTCCGAAATACTTTTTTGCAGATCTAATCTTCAGCAAGAAATATTCATATCAGCAGTGTAAGAAAGGGCATCTATATGGACCAAAAGTTCATACAACAATAGTGCCTATGTTACAGTTTTGTCTTTCAGTTGGACTATCTGAAGCATAGATCCGAGTTTCAGATCTATCCCAGAATCTGGCCATATTCAACTTTCATAAGATATCTTTCCTATAACTAAATTTAAAAAATCAAAGCAGTAGGAAAACTTTCATGATAATATCATAAAGAGAAATTTTATACATTAGTTTACCTAAATTTGTTAGCCATTAGGAAAGATAAGAATTTTTATTCTCTTTTAAAGAGTCTTAAATTGAATCTAAATCACAATATACCCTTACTCTCCAGAGGCCAATATTTTCAACTTGAATATGACCATTGGCCAACAATTCCATTTCTGGAATTATATAGCAAGGAAATAAGTAGACATATTTACAAAGATTTACGTATGATTTTCATCTCAGCATAGTTTTGGATAATAAGAAATAGGAGTAAATTTTAATATTCATCAATAGGAATATAGTAAAATAAATGATGATATAATGACATCCTGGGAAACTCTTAAAGTCACAAAGCAGAGCTGTATCACGGAAAAAAAACATAAAAATCCTACTCTATACCACATACAAAATGAAACTAAAATCAGAACTCATAGTTTAAAAATATGCATACATAAAATACAATAAAATTTTAAGTGATTTTTACCAGATGATGGGATTATGGGTCATTTTAATGCTCCTTTTTTGTATTTTTATGTTTTGTCATAGTTGTATTTAAATAAACAAACTATTTTTAAAATAAGTGAAAAACAAGGGCGCCTGGGTGGCTCAGATGGTTAAGCGTCTGCCTTCGGCTCAGGTCATGATCCCAGGGTTCTGGGATCGAGTCCCACATCGGGCTCCCGGTTCAGCGGGGAGCCTGCTTCTCCCTCTGACCCTCTCCCCTCTCATGCTGTTTCTCTCTCGCTCGCTCTCTAAAAAATAAATAAATAAAATCTTTAAATAAAAAAAATAAAATAAGTGAAAAACATTTCCACTTTTTAAATGTTGTGGTAAAGAGAAATAAAATAGAAATTAAAAAGACCAAATATTAAGTCCCTAATCGTATTTGAAATATCTATTTGTTTGTACAAATACATAAATAGATTGTGAACTCCTCACGGAAAGAGGCTGTGTTAATTGTCTTTTTCTCCCCACAGGGCTCTGCAAAAGGGAAAATAGTAGATGCGTGATAAATACATTTTGAATGAAGTGTAACCTCACCATCTATTTGTCTGGATTCGCAATGGGAGATAATGCCTCCTCTCTTGTTAAGTGGCTTTCCCTCTCCAAGGCTCATTTTTCTCATCATAAACATAAGGTTGTCTACCCACCTCACTGGGGATTGCTGTGAGGCCCAAACGAGACAGTACATGTTGCCTATAAAGCACTCCACGCATGCAAAGGAAAATTTATTTTAACCACGATGGTTATACTCACAGCCATGATGAAGCAAGTTAGGCCCTCATCCCCCAGGACAGCTCAGGGCAAGATCGTGAAGCCAGCAGAAAGTACCAGCTGCCCACCTGGGCCTGCCTTCTTCACTGTAGGGATGCCCCTGTTCCTCTCTGTGCCTTCTTGCTTATCTCCCGCTCTCATCCGGATTTAATCTCATGAAAACTGGGACTTGGGTTTTAACTTGCTCCTACTGGGATATGCATTCTCACCAGAGAGAAGAAATTATCAGCCAAGACAATG